GACTGTAATGCCCCGTTTATTTGTGGATTATTTGGGATTTATTTTTATTATTTTTATTAATTTTTATTTGCTATTATTATTGTTAATTGGTAATTATATTTATATTTTACTTTACTGAATGCCAATACAATTATTTATTTGTCAAATGTGATTAAATGCTAATTGTGATTTGTCTAATTGTTTAGATTGATTTTTTGTGATTTATTAAATTATTAATGTGAATAAATGTGTATGTAAAATATATATGTTTATTTTTTCGGTTTATTTTTATCGCGCGTTTGCCTTCGGAATCGAGCCCGATAATTTTGTTGTAATCGAATCGGGCCTGAATATATCTGTTTAAAATTTTATTTGAGCCCGTGAGCTGTTTTGTCGTCCCAACCGGCCCAAAAATCCTATTGGCCCAAGTTTCTCGGGCCCGGCCCGACAGATTTTCCCATCTCCTTTTTTTTCCTAGCGCGTATGGGCGTGATTTTGTTGTCTTGGACAACAAGATTTTCTTTTTTTTTTTCTCTCCTAACCTAATATTGTATGTGTATGTATATATATCGTTTGTCTTTTTCTTTGTGCAAAAACCCGCAGCCTTCCTTCACAGAAAGAAATTGGTCGCGATTGTTCTCTTCTCTGTGATTTTCGTCCCTTCATCATCATCGTCGTCCCTTCATCATCATCATCGTCCCTTCATCATCCATCATCACTTGTCATCTTCTTCATCTCCATCACCACGCTCGGTTCATCATCATCATCACCATCGCAGCACCCTCGTCGTCATCATCGCTCGCCCTCATCTCCGGTGACACTCGCGCCGCCGCCGCCCGCCCCAGTTCCGGCGACCTGCAACTTCCGGCGAGTTCGGTCCTGCGAGCAGCCACGACCGCCGACGAGCCCTCCTTGCAGCAGCTCGCGCAGCGAACTCCGACGACCCGTTGCAGCAAGTTCCGGCGACTTTTGCACGTCCTTCGGGCAGCCCGCAACCAATCTCCGGCGACCTTGCAGCAGCCCAGCAACTTCCGGCGACTCCCGACCGCCGCTCCGCCATCGCGCATTCAGGCCACTGTGAACAGCCACTCTCGAAGCCGCTGCAGCAACTCCTCTTTTCCGGCGAGACGCGAGAATCCGTCGAGCCCCGTTCGTGTTCGTCCGTTTTCGTTTGATTCCCGAGAACGGTACAAAGGCTCGATCCCGTCTCGTTTAAATCGATTATGTCATTTATGAATATGTGTGATTTGCGTGACGTAAATATTGTGCGTTAATGTGTTCGTTATGATTTTACGTAAGAAGTATGATTTTATGTGTTATCGTATGTGTTCGGATCTCTTCGATTTTCTCAAAAATTGAACGAGACCTCGAAAGTCGTGTAAGTCCGTGGATAATGGAACAATGTCGAGCCCTTGGTCTTATGAGAAGGCCTCGGACGAGAATTTTCGTGTTTCGAGTTAATTGTCAAAATTGTCGAGCTTATAGTCGCTGTTTTGATGTTCGAATTTTTAAAAATAGCTCGCTGCTCGAAACGATGTGAAATTTTGAGGGATGTGTTATCTGTTAATTTCCTGCCTTGTGTAAAATTTTCATAATTTTTGGAGACCTGTAGCTATTTTTTAATAATTAAATTGTGTTCTGTCCAGAATATTGTTAAATGCATAATAAATTCATACTTGTCTGAAATGAGCTGAAATTCGAATATGTCATGCTTCTGTGACTTATATGTGTTGTGTTAAATTTTCAGAATTTTTGGAGTTGATTTGATACGGGTAATATTTTATTTATTGATTCTGCAGAAAGGATGTTTTAATTTTTAAACATCGGTTACTGCACGGAAAATTCTGAAATTTTACTGGGAGTCATATTTTAGGTGTTTGATCATGTTGGTAAAATATGAAAATTTTCAGAGTCCGTTTGGTTTCAGTTTGGATTTAAATTCAATAAACTGCTGTTTCTTGTTTGAGTTTTTAAAAATAGGAGCAGTTATTGTTTAAGGCTGAAAATTTTATAAGTGAACTTTGGCATACTGAATGTTGCTGTGTAAAATTTTCAGGTTCAAATTCATTCACTAAATCTGAGTATGGATTAATGTGCCCTTTTTGCTGAATTACTGTTTGAATTTTATAAAATAGGGTATTTTGAATTTAAAGCTGAAACTTTGTGATATTACATATTTCTGGGAGTTGAAATTTTGTATAAATTTTCAGAGCTTAATTCGTGGGGTAGCTCGATCAACTATTTTTCACGTGATTAAATGATTTCAATTTTCGAGTATAATTGTTATGTGGAAATTGAATTGACTTGGTTTTCGGTTTTTATGTGAGTTTGACTTGGTCAAACCTTAGATGGATTTTTGTGAACTCCCTTAAGTGGTTCGATTGAGTTTAGTGCCGAGTCTTAGTGTTCCACATCCACAGGACTTCACGAACTACTTAGTCGAACCGAGTTCGACTAGGTCTGTCTTGTGATTTCTGATTTAAGTCGAGATAGATTCTGATTATAGGATCTTGACATCATGTAGGTGTCTAGAAGTGTTGATCTTGCCTTATTTCAAGAATTGTGACTGTGAAACATGCTGCTATCAGGTGGGTACACTTTTGTTGTATTCCATATTTATCGCACTATTTATTTCGTATAATTCTTCTTTTGAAAAATGAATGTATGCGTGAGAACCCTAGTCTAAGTATTCCTATTGGTAGTGCCTTTGACGAATGCATAACAGTGTGAGGTCACCTGCCCGTTGTATCCGGGAGGCGACGCCCTGATCCGTGTGAGTTTCGGGGGGGAAAAACATCTCCACTGTCTCCTGGAAAACATCCATGATCCGTGTGTGCTTCGGGGTGGACTCCCATGATCCGTGTGTGGTTCGGGGTGGGGGAAATTTTCCAGTTACGGCCTTGCCGATGTTTAGTCGGAAGGTTGTTGTATGTACATAGGAGGATTGCGATAGGGCCGGGTAGGGGGTTTAGACTGTTGGATTCTATGCATACTGAGTATTGTGTTACTGCTTTTAAAATAATTATACGAGATAACCGTGCGATAATGGTGAGCTAGTTGGTTGCTCACCCCCATTATTTTCTTTGTTGTTTCTCTCTTCCTTTGTTTTAGGTTGAGATGAGCTGGAGGCGGTGGCGTAGGACGAGCGAGATGGTGGTCACTGTTTGATGATATATTATGCTTCCGCCTGTTTATGATTTGTTGAACTGAAACTTGACTTGAATTATTTTCTCGTTTGGATTTGGATATTTTATTATGTGTTTATATCCCTGCTTGATTTCGTATACTGATTATGTGTTGTGCAAGAACTTGTTACTTAATCATTTGCTTTCATACTTTGGATTATTTATTTATTTGCCTTCGAACTATGTTTGAGTTTCGTTTGAACCTTCTTTAATGCTAGACGTTTGGAAATGATTTTGAGATTTATGTTTTATGAGACTGTTTATTTGATAGCTTAAGCATGTGTAGGTTCTTTGGATTGATTGATTGGATGTGTTCATTTGCTGTGGTTAATAAGTAGCGCCCGTTTCTCGATAAATGTTTTAATTTAGATTTAAAAAAAAAAAATAACTCTGATTTTTATCAAATAAATTCGGTAAATTCTTTAAAATAAAACGGGGCGTTACATAACTCCTAGCCAGCGCCGTGATTTAGACAAGGTTGGATTTGGGCCATTATCTCGTATGAACGTTTCACAAATGGATTCAAAGTTGCTGACTATGTTTGTCAAAAATTATAACCGCATTTCAAGAACTATAGATATCGGAGAAAAGACAATTCTTTTGTCACCCGTTGTTGTGGAGAAACATTTCGGTAAAGTGAAGGAATGGTGAAACCTAAAACTGTCAATGGTAGACACAGGTACCGTAATTTATTTTCTGGGAAAGAAGGACAATTCATTGGATTTCCGGAGTTTTATAATATGGTGAAAGATTGCAAGACGAACGAGACTAAATTCATAGTTCCATATTTGATGTTGCTTTTTGCCACGGTGTTGTTTCCACGGGTTAGGGATACACCTCTGGACAATGAATTTCTAAATTACTTGGTTGATTTAAATGTTGTCCAACAATGCAATTGGTCTGAAATAATTCTTCGCAAGTTAGGTGACGGAACTATGTCAGCTAAATGCGGTAATAAATCGTACGTCACGGGATGTATTCTACTACTGCAGGTAGTCTATTGTTATATGCATCATATGTTAATAAATTGTTGCATAAGATATCTTCTAAAGTGATTTTAAACAATTGTAGGTGGTTTTCGTTGGTCATGTGGCTAGATCATTCCCTTTTGTCGGAAAACAATTGCATACTGGATCCCCTTTTTTAGAACAATGGAGCAAGAGATTTCTAGAGCAATTGATGTGTTTAAACACATGGGAGGTTTTGATGAGAATTTTGTAAGTTCACATGTGGATTTAATTTCTTTGTACGAAATTTGTTTAAATGGCCATTAACATATGAATACTGTAACCTTTGTTTNTATGAATAATGTAACCTTTTTTTTTTTGTTCTTTTTTCAGATTTGGAAAGTTAATGAGTAGTCGGGTGGATTAAAGATGGATGAAAGCGTCTGCAAGGAATCTGTTCAGCGTGACTCAACCACAGATCTAATAGTAAGAGACAAGCTCATTGAGCACCTAACCCTTATTTATCTTTGTTGAAATGTAATCGGGACACACCCGTTAATTGTGGACAAGATGACAATAAAATGAGAACTGAAAATGGAAAAGACCCGATGACTGGGCAGAAGGTTGCTTCTGAAAATGGAAAAGACCCGATGACTGGGTAGAAGGTTGCTTCTGAAAATGGAAAAGATAGGATGACTGGCCAGAATGTTGCCTGCGAAAATGGAAAAATAGGATGACTGGGCAGAAGGGTGCCTCAGAAGAATCGTTTAACGAGACAATGAAACCCACCAAACTGGATTTTGATGCTTGCTCGCCGGATACATACACTCCCGCTCGGTCTTGCAACACGGGAAAAGACATCTTTCAATATTTTAAAGAAATAACGATTATGGATACAAATGCACCGGAGTACATTTTCAATCGTGACGGGGATGTTTCGTAAGCAAACGACAACACTGCATATTACGGTTTTGGATTATATATATATATATATAACATTTTCCTTGTCAATTTAAACAGAAACACTACATTTACAATACTGTCTAACATTATATTTTGTACAGCAAATTGTTGGTCAAGTATGAGGCCTGGAGTGTCATGAGAGCAGATATGTTAACCATTGAATATCCCCACTGGTTGTTAAGTCCGGTGTAAATATTCTTTTTTTTTTTCATATTGGTTCACAAGTTGAATTAGGTTCATAAGTAGTTGATTTTCTGTGTAGGTCATTGATATGGTTGCCCTTCATGTGACATTGAATCGGACTGAAGAATATAGTAGAAAACGCAACTGGGTTTTACCGGCATCTTTCAGTGTGAGACACATTATCATTTTAATAATTCTCCAATGTAGTCTATCAATATCTATGATCCTTGCATGGCATGGCTTTGTCATTGCATAGCGACGCCTCGATTCAAAAAAGGTTCTTTCGAGATAGAGTATTCAACGGTCGTGCTGACGAATGTTTGAGTATAACGTTGACAATATCGGATGGAAATATTCATTGGTACAAGTGTATTGTTGATATGAAAAGATCTGTTATTCAAATCCGCGACACCTTACACTCGGAAGTTACAAATAAGTCGAGGATTGAACTGGCGAAGAAAGTGGTCACAATTATTTTGTTGGTTATGATTCACTTGCAACAATATGCTCAGTAATGATAATGGTAATGTTAAATTATTCGTGACTAGATAATGCGACTGGAGGGGATTATCTCTGCGTGGAATGGGAATGGGTTCTTTCATGAAAATATCGCCACCACGTTCAAACCAATTATCGACCGAATTGTTCCCCAACAACCGAATGGGTACGAACATTAGCCGTTCATATATCACAAAACAAAAAATTTTGGAATCATTGCCTATGTGTTGTAATTTTTTAACTTTTAATTGGTTATTCGGCAGATACAATTGCGGTCTTTATGTGTGTATTCAGATGTTATGTCATTCCACTCCATCAGCAAATTTAATTTGGCTGCCACTTACAGAGGTAATATATCATTAACAAGTAATTTAATTTGCAGATTACATTGATTATTTAATTTTAATTTTAGTTGAAAACAGGATGAATCTATGGAAGCGAGGAAAAGGGTGGCTGACACTCTTTACGCAGCTAAATATAACCAAATCACAAGAGGGTATGTAACACGTTGTTTTTCTTAACCAAAAATCAAAAACCATTTAATATCAATTTTAAAATTGGTATCCAACAATATTGTAATGTTGCAATATAATGTATGCACGCATATTTGTTTTCGTAGGGCTATGGTTAGGTTCTTCGTTAGTTCCCGTGGAGGCAATCAAGTCAGCAATGGCTAGTCCTATGACTCGTGTACAGTAACTATGGATACCCTCTATGGACTATTCTGGTTTGCCAGAAATCCACCGTCCGAAGATGCTGAAGCTCTTTACTATGGTTGTCAACCTGATAGCGATTCATCTTATGACATTCCGATTACGACGACTGATGAATTACGAAATCATGTATCGAGTTACGTATCCATTGGTCGGGTGATAATTCGTATCGAAGTTGTTTGGGTATGACCCATACGATATTATTACGTAGCAGCCTCGTAGTTGTCAACTAAAACGTACTATTATGACCCGTCTGATCGACGTTGAATCGTCATCGGCAGTTTTAAAATGACCGTGAATTGTGAGGACAATATGAGACTTTTTGAAAATTACGTTGTATGCTTGTTGGTTATTATGTTTTTCTTGTATTAGTTATGTTGGGTAATTTGGCAAATATTCTGAAGTATTTTAGTGGTAGCACAAAACGTAATTGAACACTGTGTAATTGCTTACTTTTGATCAAATGGGGTCACACCAAATTAATAAAAGACAAAAAAAATAAAATAAAAGAACCTGTACAAGAAAGATTTTTTGTACATTTATTACATTTATTATAGTAGCATTTTCCATGATTGTTTAAAATTGGTCAATTTCACATTTATTATATAGCATTTACCATAATTTCTGTACATTTATTATGTAGCATTTTCCAAATTTCCAACCACATTATGGAAGGAAATAGTTCCACTTTGCCGCGCGTTACCATCTTTAAGCCACAATTAATTATCTTATTTAAGCCTTGCAAATGTGTAAGAAGAAACGTAACTCGTGGAACCCGCAAAGGATAATATATTTAATTTTTTTTTCTTCGAGATTGAATTTGCAAACCATGTCAAAAAATTCACAGGTCCAAGGGTACAAAGAGTGCTATTGTCGCCAACTTGCGGTCATTCGCACATCGTGGACATCGGAAAATCCTGGAAAACGATTCAGTTCTTGCAAATTATACAAGGTAAGGTTTGTATATTTCAGGGATGACAAACCCTAATTTTTTTTCTGGAGTTTTAGGCAAATCTTTTCTGCTGTTTTATAGGAAGGAGGTTGTGATTTCTTTTCGTGGATCGATGGTCCAATGTGCAATTGTTCAAAGCAATTAATTAACGGGTTTCTGCGGAAATCAAACGAGTTATGCGATCGAGTTCAACAATTGCAAGATGAAAACGACAAGATGAAGGAGGAAAAAAGATTGATGGAAATCGAATACAATAATCTACAGAAGGCACATCAGACAAAGGGAAACACCACAATGTTTTTGCTATTTGTAGTCGTTTGCATCGTTTTATGCTGTTTTTGGTTTGCATAAGCTAGTGTTCTTGAGTTCTTCAGTGTGTAATGGTGGTTTCCAGGTTGATTTTGAAGTTTTCAGTATTTCAATTTGTTTGAAGTTGGAATGTAATCGGTTTTTCAAGATGTTTAAATGAATTTCTAATCGTGGATGTTCGATTAGCACCATACTCAAACAGATCTTACATGTAATATAAAAAAAATAAAAAATATATAAAAATAAAAAATGGAATTAATAAAAATAAGCCCAAGCGGGTGCACAAAGTTCAGTTAACCGAGCCGAACCGACCGAAATCGAAAATTCGCTTTGGACCGATACATAAAACGAATATTTGGTTCGGTTAACCAAACCGAAACGAAATGAATAACGAACCAAATACATATGTATACATGTTTTTTATTTGTACATATGTTATTTTTTGTTGTTCGGTAAATCATTAAAATTTTAGTTCGGTTACAAATTTAAAATTTACTGAAAATATTATTAATTTATTGGGATTAACATAAAAACGAACCGAACCGACCGCTGGGTATTCAATTAAAAACTGAATTGAACCTTATATTTCGATTCGGTATTCGGTTAGGATAATGGACAAACCGAATTTTCAGTAATTAGCAGCCAGTTACTACCTATATTTTATTAGTACCAATTTATTATTTTAACATAATACATGCCAATTTTAATTGCAAACCCTAACAAATCTGAAATTTGAATTGCTAGTGGGCATTGTTTGTCGGCCCCAAAACATTGATACATAACGACGGAAATTGACTGGTTACATATACAAGTAGTATATTCAAGTCTCTCGCGTCGCGACACCACAACATTTTTCTCTCTCTTTCTTCTCTCTTTTCTCGCAATTTTTCAGACGTACAAGGCTGAAGAAAGATCAATTGTTCCGAGAATGTCAATGGATATTTCAGAAGTCAATACATTTATCAAAATCATTCATCCAGAAGTTCAACATTCTCTGGTAAACGTTCTATTTAAAGTTATTTGTTATTTCTGTAAAACCCTAAATTTCGTTATCCTAATATTCGATGGCATTCTACCGCTGTATTGTACATTCCATAGTGATGAGACAGTGGACCAAAATGGGATATGAAAGTGGAGAAAATTGGTGATAGGATTGGTTTGACTGAGGGATGGGTTGATTTCAGCATTCAAAATGATATCAAATGGGCTGATTTTTTGGCTTTCAAATTAGTCAAACCGAACAACTTTGTTTTTTACCACTTCGATCATTACTGGACTCAAAAGAATCGGGTAACCCGTCGGTGTCATGTGCCAAAACAGATTGGCTGCAGCCAGCCTCAATTGTTGGAGGTTAACCGATTTATGTTAATTAACATCTACCACAACAGAAAGAATCTGGCAAGTGTTTTTTTTTTTTTTTTTAANTTTTTTTTTTTTTTTTTTACTGACTTGTGCTTGATTTATCTAACATCTGTTTGTGTGTATAATATCAGTTATAAATGTTCAATAACTACCGCTTGCCAATTATTTCCTAATTATTATACATTTGTTTATAACCGAATTGCGTATCTCATATGACATTCTCATTTTTCTTAGCCAATCCCCCCTATGATTTGGAGCACTGTCGAACATTTGCTTCCAATTGAATGCACCTTGCAGAACAGCGAGGGGGATGATGCATTCAAATGGCCGATTGTAATCAAGTGTCTTGGAACGAAGATTGGGTTTGCAGATGGATGGGAGGACTTTTCGAGGGAAAATTCTGTTAAAGCAAATCACATACTTCTTTTTGAACTTGAAGGCCCAAACAGGTAATTTTTTATTTGTTTTTTGGGTCAAACGGTTACTATTTTAATAACTTTAAAACTCAAAAGAGTACACCGACATGATCAAACGGGTTCATTGTCTATCATTTTGACCTTTCTTGTGCTCGAAGAGCCCTTAGATCTGTTGTGGGATCTTGCATTCAAGATGATGAGGAATTGGATGAGATGGAAGAGGAAGCTATTGTTGGTGGGTTCCGTATACAGGCTTCCTTCACTCTTGTTAGCCGTAGCCGGCAGGTAACAAATATGTACTTGCAAATATCTAATTTTCATTAATCTACACTTAAATTACTTGCATGCATTATTATAATAATATCGTTAAATTAGTAGTAATGCACCATTTTTATTAATTCAATATCATACAGATGATTCCATCTGCTTACTGGAATCAAGAGTTGATGGGGAGATATGATGAAGTTGGATCTGCTCGTATCCGTCGTGGGGGCAAGCAATGGATCATCCAAGTGAAGAAAGAAGGGGCCAAACACATCTTTAAAGGCCTGAAGTCTTTCATCAATCATGCTCAAATAGTTCAAGGAACAAATATCATTTTTAGGAAAGTAGAAGTTGAGTGTGACGATTTGGTGTTCGACGTGGAATTTTGAACAAAGTTTATTGGTGTTAGATTAATGTGGAGGTGAATGTGTATGGTTGAACATACTTTTATTTTATATTTGTTAGTATTATTAAGGTTGCACTGAAGGTTTTGTAAGGTTTAAATGGGGGTGGAAGTCATCAAGTAATGCAAATTTTTGTTTTCATCCTTATCCTTCGATGGTACTTTTGGTTATCTACTGAAATCAACAACTAGCTCACCTTCGATAGTGTGTGTTTAAGTATTGTAAATCAATGTCCACAATGTATAGGAAATTGAACAGTGTGAATGTCCACAAGTACTTCATTTTTTTTTTCAACGGCAATACAAAGATGTGAATATATATTAATCTGAAAACAGTGTACATAGTAATAAATTGATTACAACAGCATTACAATGCAACAGAAGGTCTCTAATATCTACCAGGTCCTGATTTATCTCTTCCAAAAACACCATATTGCCATAAACACAAAGATGCAGTCACCAAGATTGCAAATTAACAATTTCAACATCTTGAGAACTCCAACTGACACCAGTAATCTTCAAAAACAATTTAGCTTTGGGGAAGTTAAACAAAATTTGATTTAAATCCTACTCAGCCTCTCCACACATTAAATCTACCACCTTACCTCTTCTGTTCAGTTGCTTTTTGGAACTGATGTAGTCAAACCAACATCTCCAAAGAAAATTCTTCAACTTCCTTCAATTTCATTGTTGCACTCCACATCCTTTGAATCTGTACAGGATCTAAACTTGAGCAAGCCATCTACTGGATCCAAACTTGAGCTACCCATCAGGACCTCAATTACCAGCCAAAGGAATCTTGGTAATTCTATCTGGAATCACAGGATCAAAGGCTAGATATCATGATCCCATTATCTTTTTCCTTTCTTCATCAACTCACTCACTCTCTTCAGTCTCCCTCTATAAATAGGAAAATTACACTTTGGCTCGAAAGGGGGTATAAAAATTAAAATGCACAGTGAGTACCAAACCGAAATAGCTGTACCATCCCCCACTCTAAACCTAGCCCAATCTCTAAAACTTTCCTAACCACCAAAAGACTTTTCCACAACCAACAATCATGTGCTTTGGGTGACACATTCATCAATCTAGTCTGGCAATAATATCTGACCTTCATCACTCTACTAACTAGCAATTTGAGCTGAGTAATGAATCTCAAAAGTTATTTAACCAACAATGCATCATTAAAGGCAATAAGATCCCTAAACCCAAAACCTCCATTAGCTTTTTCTCTCACCAATTTATCCCATCCCAACCAATGAATTCTGCTATCCCCTCTCTCATTATGACCCCACCAAAAAGCAGCAGTATCTGAACAAATAGTAATTTACTTAAATCAAATGTGTTATACACAATGCACAGGAAATATCTCAGATTCTCAAAGTATTGATGACCTTCGCATTCACAACGCAATTTACCAATAGTTATTGCATTATATAGAAATTTATCGTCATCCATATTCAAATAGTATGGAAATTTATGAATATGTGTTTTCATTGCAATTTCATCATACATATTACAGGGCAATTGTGCCACAAATACTTCCATAAAATTAGAAAAAAAAAGGGTTCAAGGACAAAGAGCAGGAACACATGTACAACATATCAAGAAGCGAACTGCAAAAGGGCTGGATTGCTTCTTCATCAAACAGGAGCAATGTAGTGGTGAATCACAACTCCTCGTATAATATCAAACATATTTAGTGGAAATTAGCAACAATGTCACAAGTTCATCGAGTGAGGCATTTCATAGAGCATGTAATGTGCTAGTTAAGAATGCACCAAAAATAAAATTCAAACCTCACTTAACCAATCCACCTCCTAATATGAAATGAAAATCAAGACATCACAAAAGTTCCAAATCAATTTAATAACACGAATACAAATGCAGCAAGCCAATTAGCAAACGACCTAGAATTGCATACCAAGAAAAAAAAAAACACAAATAAACACAACACTACAAAATCAGGAGAGATATTTACAATCAAAACATCACAAAAACATTAAATGTAACATGAGAGTAGCGTAATTAGGGCCGGTATTAAATCGTGGGGAAGTTCAGGTTTTAGGCGAGGAGACGATTATGTTCGGTCAGAAATGAAGCCATTTCAGACGATGGATTAGGTCGGTAGTGTATGCATACAAGTTCGAAGTAGGTGAGAAATACGATGTTATCGCCGGTCAATCAAAGGCATAGGCGACGGCGATGGGCTGAGATGGAGGATTGAAATGAAGAACGATGAACAAACAATTTACAAAAGATGAACAGACATGTTAATTTTAATTCATATAATGAATCGTAATAATACAAATCTGAAAGGATTAGATAATGTGTTTTTAATATATGTAGGACTGCAATATAAATAACATAAATATATGGGTTTCAAAATAAATAAAAGTTTCATTTTATAATTTATTTAAATTTTTAATTATAGTAAGGGTAAAATAGGTTTTTCGCATGTACAAACGTGTACAGACGTACAAAGCCATGTACAAAGCGTCCATTATTTCTTTTTTTTTTCCCTGTACATGTTTGTACACTAAATCAATGGTCCATATTCAATCTTGAATCAATCTAATGGTAAAATAGGGGGCTACCTGATGTCAGGTATGTACAAAGAGTACCTGACCCTAGTCGGTGTTCGCAAAATATTTCACTATCCGCAAGTGTACGGTATAGCTGTAGTGAGTGGCGAGCAAGGTCGTATTCCACAGAGATTGTTGTCAAAATAACTAAGTATCAAAATGTAAACGGTTAAATATTATTCAGTCTAATGCAAATTTATATGGTGATTTTATTCTAAACTAATGAATGATTGCAAAATAAATTCTAACACTAATGAAGGCTTGTTCTAAGATAAATCAAAAATGAGAAAATAGATTCTAGGCTATGCTTTCCTCGGGATTATTCTAACAAAGATTTCCTATTCATTCAAACCTTATTTAATTCTACCATTCGTAGGGATAATCACTAAAGTAATTTACAACTTTCTCTCGAACAAGTTAAATCGTAGATATTAATTGTTATCTATCTCCTCTCGGTCTCAAGATGAACAATCAACTCCAATAAGCTCCTAAGATTCTAGTTCCCTCGCAAGATTCTATCAACCTCTCGGTCTGTTTAGTCTCTTACGTTATGAATTTCCCAATTCTAGCAATCAACTATCTCCTCTCAGTCTCAAGTCAATCACAAATATGCATAAATACGGGCCCTTATATTTACACAATTAATAAAAGCACAAGAAATTGATAAACGAATGATAAACCGGAATGAATAAACAAAATCACTTCATAAAATAATCCGAGTACTCGCAAATCCTAGAATCCCTAAAAGGTTTAGCTACTAAACATATTCTCAAAACTAAAAATAAATATATTCATGAGTTCAATTAAGAAGAAAAAGAGAAAAGAAAGAAGAACTATTGTCGCCGTTAGTTCCCGAATCTTCAATCTTGACTTCCTCGAATCCCTCGTGTGTTTCGTGCTTTCTCTAGGCCTTCAATGGTGTCAAAAGTCCCAAAAACGAGTTCCTAAGGCCTCTTTTATACAGTAGGGCACTTCTGGGTCGAAAAAGGGAAGCAATCTCACAAGAATCCTATTCCCCGCATGTCTGGTCTGCGCGTCACACGAGTCGTGTCATATTCCACACGAGTCGTGTGACTTTTCTCAACATTTCGGCGAACTTCCAGACTCACACGACTGGTCAGACGACCGGGTCACACGAGTCGTGTGAGGCCACACGACCCGTGTCTCAACCCACACGACTCGTGTGAAAAAGCCGTAGCTGTGTCTCTAATTTCCTCAACCCACACGACCCGTGTCACTATCCACACGAGTCGTGTGGCCTCTTCTGCACCCGTTTTCGCCGTTTTTCGTCCCGATTCCATTTCCAACGCATTTCCGGGCATATTTCCTGCAAAAACAACGACAAAAACACTTCTATCATAGTTTAATAAATAAAACAAAATGGTGCACAATCACACGATAACCAGGGCCAAATATCACAATATATCACTCATAATGCATGAAAATATGATGAATATCAACTCCCCCAAATTGAAACCCTTGTTCGTCCCCGAACAAGAATAAGAAAATCAGAACTCAAGCATAATGAGTGATATCGAACTAGAACAGCTTCAAGTCCCTCAATGCAACCAAGAAAAATTCAAAAGATCATAATTATCATGCTTTGACTATTAACTTGTATCTACCTTGAATCAACGAACTCTCAAATAGGAATATATAAGTGTCTCACTCACATGTCATCAATATATAAAAGAGAAGGACACGCTCAAGTCACATTGAACACCCAGTTAACTATATGTTTGCCAATCATCTAAAACTCTACTTCAAACACAACCAATAATCATGAGCTTTAAACCAAAAGGTCTTTCCAGGTTGTAATGTAGGCTATTTGGTCAAGGGTAAGATATATATGGGTTAAGTGGCTCAAATAAACAATCATACCATTCGAGTAAATAGACTACTCGACATACTCCACTACTTCTCTCTAATCAACACCTCTAATCAACACAAACCGTTTCTCATTCCTAAACCAAAATAATCCATACACAACTCATAAATGCTCAAATCAAATTGCAAAGGAAGTACTTGACCATTTTTTCTTTTTTCTTTTCTTTTTTTTAGAGAGTACAATTGTTTTCCAAAACAAAATCAAACTGCAAGAACAATATTCTCTATGTATAAACATTGGAGGTCATCCAAGTGTCCTAGAGTGGTTTCCCATTACTCATTACAAGTTAAAATAAATCAACTAGTAAGAGGAGTAGAATCCTAACAATTCGACTTGCGAGCTCTCTTTATTATCAATTTTTTTTTTTTCGGTCAAACACATTAAATGCAACTCAATCCAATAAATAACTCTGTTATCCCCATACATCCCAAATATCAGTCAACTCTCAAAATAAACAAGATAAACCGGTCGACAAGAAAAAGGCTTAAGACTCAAACGGGCTACTAGTGGAAA